GGGGGGGTCAAACCTGGTTCGGACAGTTATATACTATTTGGATGACCAGTTCCCAGCCGTTTGATTTGTGATGATCAACGACTGGGATCATTTTAGGGCAAAACAGGGTCGTTTTTAGGAGGGTGGGGACTGGACCTGGTAAGGCTGGTTTTGGGCCTGGGTTTGGGTTGATTTGGGAACGGGTTTAAGCAAACCCTTTTGTTCAATTACCCTTTTTATTTCCTTTTTTTCTTTTTCTTTAATTAAAAATCCTAAATTAATCTAAATTATAAAATTAAACTAATTATCTAATTATAATATTTATAACAATTACTTGATCCTAAATTAAAAGAGAAAAAGCACTAATCTAAGAATTAAAAACAAAAATGTAAAAATGAGCCATTTTTTATGATTTTTATTTTAATAAAGCAATTAATTAATTAATCCTAAAATGTGAACACAAAATCTAAATATAATGCATGATATTTTTGGTATTTTTTCCGATTTTAATAAAAGTAAACATGCGCAGAAATGCAAATAATTAGTGAAAAATCCTACAAAAATCCTATAAAAATGGCAAATAATTGGAAAGAATCTATTTTCTTTGATTTTATAGAAGTATTTCATATAGGGCAAAAATCACATGCTCACATGCCTTTCATATTATCTCTTTATCTATTCATATGGGACATGCCCCTCATCAACCCTAAAAGTACAAGTACAAAGAATATTCAATGTAATATTCTCCTAAAGATCTCATTACAAAACTAGTTATTACTATTGCTCCTGACATTTGACTTTGACCATCATTGGGTGCCCGGTTATGAAAATTGTTTACTAGTCGACCTCGATCAAATTACTATTTATAATACCTCTTCATATTAAATCTCTTCGAGGTAGATTTTGATCCATACAATGGATTCAGTTAAACCCGATGGTAACACACTGCATTTGCCACTGCCACTATTTGTACCACTAGTAAATAAGGCTCATTGAAGAATATGCTGAACTTGAAAACCATGGTAAAGAAACTTTTTGATGGTCAACTATATTTAAGGCGAAACTATAGTGTTGGTTGCGGGTAACAAACTAACTTTTATTCAAACTCTGTATTGTATTAAGAAATTCAATAAATATGTATAAATTACTAATCTAGAACCCAATATCTTAAAAGAATTATAATCCTGAACCATAAAGTTCAATTCCTAACTCCACTTTTGACTATATTCATTTTATCTAAACTACTAGTAATTATTATCGTTAGGTTGAATACTTGAATATAGACAATAAAAACAAAATCAAAAGTCTAAAAGGGGAAAGAACCATTAGTAGTATAGTACATTATCTATATCTATATCTATATCTATCTATCTATATCTACATAAAAGCATTGACCGCAATCAAACGGGCAGTTTTTGACGATATATAAATTTTTGGGATGAGACTCAACAAAAATCGGGTTCTATTATTTTAACTTTACTTTATTATTTAATTATGAATTCCTACCTTTTGTGATTTGTTAGTTTTATTTTTTAAAATATTAGGATAGATGATATATTTATGATGATCTTAAAATACATGCTAAATTAATTATTTTATATTTTTTTAGTTGTTATTGCACGGACAAAAAGCATGGCGTATGTATATATATGTTGCATAATTACATGCATGGAATCATGTGAAATTCATTTCGAAAATTGTGGGATGATATATTTAATTATAAAATAACATTAACTCTTAACAATATCTAAGTGTAAAGAGTATTTACTCTCATGATCTCAAATTGGTGCAAAGATTGTTTATTCTCAAAGTAATTTTGTAGTATAAATATTTTATAGTATAACTATCCTATTTCATTGTACGTTGTCTCTTAATTGAAACTATTAATAATAAAAGAGTTGGCAGTATGGATGGTCTAATCTTCTTAGAGTGAAATTTTATTACTTTTGTATTTCATAGAAGTAGAATAGAAGATAAAATTATTGTGAAAGAATAAAAGTAGGATATGAGAAACTTTTGTGGTCGTAATATTTTTTAAGATAACCAAAGTAGTGTAGTAGAATTATATATTATAATGAGTAAAACATGTAATGTTAAAATTCAACGTTAAAATTATGGGATCTTCAATGCATTGTTTTCATTCCTTTTTTCCAAAAGAATAGAATATTCCAATTATTTACAGTACATTCTTTCCCATATAATCTTATTTATGACCATTACAATTACCAAATCTTATTGCGATAAATTTAGCTTAAGTCAATGGTTTGTTTGCAAGAAAGTTTAATTATTTGAAGTGAACTCTCAAAGTTTGGTATTTGTTCAGTACAAACTTTCATTTGCAAATTGTTATTCTTTTCACTACAGATTTAATATTGCATCCAATATAAATTTATGTTCTCTTTCTAATAGGCTACTTGAATTACTCGGTCACGCAATAGGCTACTATGTCAAATTATTTTAATTTATTATCTATTTCAAAAAATAATGTTGATCACGGTAGAAAGTAGAAAATCTATCTTATATATCATTACTATTATACTTATTTTGCTTTATCTACCTAACCATATCATATTCAGTCAAAATGGTAAGCGAATAAAAATTAACAAAATAATGTGTACCTATTAACAGTTTTCTTTTGACCGAGTGATAAAAATATTAGCAATTCGAAGAGGATCAGTAAAGCTAAATAAAAATCTCCGACACATAAGTGTTTCGGTACTATAATATTAATCGACGAAGAGGTAATACAATTTTAAATTTTTATTATAATTTTTACTTATTCATATTGCCTTTGTTAATGATATCATTTGTTGGTTAAGTCTTTAATAGTGGAGAAATATCTAAGCAACCCCTTTCAATACTCATGTGAAAAAGTGAAAGGACTTCTTCAAACCAAATAAGAGCTAATATAGTAGTAATGATTAATTAAATCGTGTCAACCCTAATAACACTTCAGTGCACAAAAAACTTGAAATAAGTTTTACAAACAACACCATAGTAAAGCAATCAGTCGATGACATTTCCACCCAAAAATATTTCAAATAATTTTGTATCCTTGGAAAAGGCGGCAAAATTTAGTGAGGACACTCTATTTGGTAATTCTTTATAGTAATTTATGAATTATATTTTACATAATTAATTGATACTTATGACTATTTTTTCAATCTCATAGATTTTAGATGTAATTTTTTTTATTAACACACAAACCACTTATTGAAGAAGGATAGACTTGGAGAAAGAGTGCATATAAAAGGTAAACTGAAATTACACGCATAAAAAATAGTTACACGCATGAAAAATATTTTGGTTTACTATATAAAATTATCACTTAGTTGAAACTAGTTAGTTTTAAAAACGTCGGGGACTTGTTTGTTTAATTTTAAAGGTTGACTAAAAACAGAACAGTTGAGATTTGAGAACGGACAAAGGCAACCGTGGACAGACGAAATATCAGGAACCCAATCCCAGAAGAAAGGACGACTGTTTACCTCAATCAAACCAAAGATCCTCTACAACTACGCCCCGTCTTCCAATTTTCGAATCTCATAATTATTGCGCTTTCCCTCCCTAGATTTCCTCAATCTCAATCTTCCCATGTAACCCATTGCTGTATCATACGGTACCTCCCTCATTTATTTAATACCCCATACCCCACAAATAAATAAATTAATTAATAACAATCACCGTGTAAAAGAAATCGGCGATTAATTTCTGGTTTTAGGTTGAATATCGTCGATGAAACGGCACTGGGTGATCCTGGTCTGTGTTTTACTGTTATTTTTTGGCTTTACGGGCTTGGCAAGTGAGTTATTGAGCTTGCCGAGTAGTTCAATTGAGGGAATTTCCGATGGAGTTACGATAGCTCCGGCGAGGAGGAATCTGTTGTCAGAGTTAAGGTTAGTTTCTGTTCTTTCTGTTTTGAGAATTTCATGTTCTGCTCATTTGGATTTACTGCTGGTATGGTGTGGTAATTTTTTTAGTAAATTGTGCAAAGATATAAGAATTCTTGGAGCTTCTGTAGAAAATTCTTTGCTACTCCATCTGTTTATTTTATTAAAATTTAGAAATGACACAAGATTTCAGCTTTATTATTGCTTCTGGAGGATCTTTTCATGTTTTAATTTCATTTTCTACTGATGCATAGTTTGGTATTTTGGTTCAAATTATCCCTTCAATTGCTTTTTACATGTTTTCTTATGCTTCTGGAGAGTAAAAGAATTGGATTATCGTTAAATATGCTCCCAATTCTACTTAGGGTGTGTTTGGTATGAAGGAAATGTTTTTCTGGAAAATAAGTGGTTTTCTTATTTATTTCCGGTGTTTGGTAAGTAAGCAGAAAATATTGTCCCAAAAGCATTTATGTATAATATATTACAAACAATATGAGGGTGGCGAAGGGTAGGGGGTCAGAGTGGGGGGAGCTTGTTTGCAGGGG